TTATACCTAATCTTCATTTCACTTGGATCATGATTTAATTAGGTAAATGACTAGACTTAACATATTAGCCAAAACGTACTTTTGGGTTAACTCCTTCTTCAATTTTATTTATTTTCTTCTGTTTTTTCAGCTTTTAAATTTTAGTTCATTTTTTATGGAGGTACTTCTGATGTTTTGTTGCACAGGTTCAGCTTACAAAATAAACTAAAGAAGGTCTCTTTAGGTCTCATAACAAATTATTAAGTACGTATTAATTTATTTATACTAACTAAACAGCCAGTCTTAACTCGTTCTCTCTCTTTGAGCATACATGCTGGTCTGTAGTATGACCATCCCACAGTAGCTTTTTCCACTTGTTTAACAGGGAAGAAACAATGTATTAATACTGTATTGTTTTCCTAAATATTTAATAGTGTTCCATCTTTTTATCACTGTTATGGATTACTGAAGTTTTAAGAAAATTAAAGTAATGCAGGTTCCTATTATGGAAATAATTTAGTAGTCAGTTGCTCCAAGTATAAAATTACAATCCACTAAATTCTGGGTGTTGAGTGTGTCAGGGCATGAGCTCTGGGTTCTGTTGTAGTGCCCTGGCCAGAGCACTATAATTTTCAAATTTCCACTTCTCTTCTTCTAAATCTTCTGAAACAGGAAACCTTTTTCTTGTGTGCCTCTACACTGTCTTTTTTTTTCTTTCTGGGAAGATGCATGGTGGTACTGAATGAAAAAAGTATTCTAACTAATGAAGTAGACACTGAATAACTGGATTTACACTGAGTTTTAGGCGCTTTTATATGCTTTTGTTTCAAATGCAGGTTAGATACACCTGCTTTATTATCTCAGAATTAAATATATGCTATGTAACTGAAAAATAACATTTAATGATAAAATAAAGTGGCAGATTTTTATATCTCTTGATTATCGGTATTTCTGCTCTGTCAGTGAATAGGGAAGGAAGCAAGAAAAATAAAAGAAGATAAAAGAAATAGGAAGAAAGCAAAAGAGAGTGGTAAACTCATTTTATTCTTTAGGGTTTGTATCTGTACAAACCTTCGTGCAATATGAGAATATGAGTACAGAGGCAGTGCTTCCAAGACCTATTAAACCTATTCTACCATGGAGGGACAGTCAATCTACCATGGAGGGACAGACAGGGGTTTTGCTTTTGTTTTTAGTAAAGGTCAGATGATGTAAGAGGAAATGTTATCATCAAAGAACATGAAACATTCTCTGTTCATTGTCAGTGCTTTTGACATCTGTTGTAGAAGTGATTTGACATACTGTATGAAATAGACCTGTGAATACACTATTGTGCCTGTCCCAGAGTGCTTGCAGATGGCACTGTGAGTAGGTACACAATGATTCATATCCTAAAATAAAAATCCAAATGCACAAAACAGTGAACCTGTGAAAAAATGCTTTGCTCCACTCTCCGATCCAGTATATTAGAGAGTTTCGTATAAACCAAAAGTATACATTTCTTGTTTTCTTCCTGAAAAAAGCTAACAATTAACTTCCTCAAGCCACAGTATTTGAATTTTGTGCTTTGTGCTTAGAAGAATGCTTAAATCATACCAACAATGCAACAGACAAATTAATTCCAAGTCTGCTTTGATATTTAATATTTGATGTTTTTATTTCCTCCCTAATATTAAGTCAGGCAACATTTTCTGCTTTTAAGTACTTTTTTTAGTACTATAGCAAGGTCCCTCCATTGTGTCTTCCAGTCTGCACAAGCTGCAGACTCAAATTAGTATTTGCTCCCTCAACTGGACTCTTTGAAAAGGTCTACAAAATGAGCTTGCTTGTTTGCTCTTAGAAAAGAAATTTATCCCATCTTACCTCTATTCCAAGGCACCTGTCAGGCTCATCTTTGCACAGAGTGCAGCGCTGAGCACAGAGTACCCATGCAGCTTTTTACTTGTTGTTTCACTACCTAATCTTTTAAAGATTCATGCAGAATTAACCCCACAGAAATTAATTAATTTTTAATCAGATTGTGTGAAGATGCAAGCCAAGCAGAAGATACCATTTAACATGTCCTCACCCAAAAAAACCCCTTAAATAACCCTCTGTGACAGTTTGAATCAGTTTTATATAAATTAATTTTGTGTCTATGTTAATTTGAGAAGAGACTGAGTTGAGCTTGTGAATAGTAAGTGAAAAAGATTCCTATTCTAGAGCCCCTGAGTGTACTGGGGAAGAAAGTCCAGGTGACTGAATGTGGCAAAAAAAGGGATAGAGAAGATGGGTGTGGCAGCAAGGAACAGAGAGATAACAGCTGAAGCAGAGATTGAAATACTGATAGGAGAATCAGGCAATAGACCCACAACCAGCTGTTCATGCTCACACATGGAAAAAACTTCTAGTAACCAGACAGAAGGACCTGCTGTGCACTGACACACAGGGCAGTTGGACACTTATGAATTAATTCTTTTATTTTCATATTGTCTTGCATAGTAATTTTTCTAGTTTAGTTTATTCTTGTCCATTCTTAAACAAAACATAAATATTCTGAGTTTCAAAGCTGTTTTGAACCTCCTTATATATATCAGGTAATTAAACAGTCTAAACAGATCTCCCTTAAAGCCTTGTATTTGTGGGTCATGTGTTTATATTTCAAAAGGTTCCCATTGAAATATTTTCCACTTTTTAATTGTTTAAAACAATCGCATTTTTATAGCTTTAGTAGATGCAAGAGTAACTTTCAAATGTTTGCTTCTGTTTATATGGTGATATGGTTTGAAGCTGGCTCCCTGCCAAGAGTCCAAACCTTACCACCAGAAGTCCCGTCCCCCCCGCAAAAACCTCAGGGAGAAGAGGGAGAAAAACAACCAACTAAGAAATAACCCGAAACGAGAGAGACAGCTAAAGTGATATATATAAATATATTTACACTTATATATACAATTTAAAATATATATATAATTTTCACAAGGGAAGGGGAAGGGGGAAGGGAAAAGGGAACAAAACCAAAAATAAAATATATATATATATATATCTCCCAATCAGTAGCCCGAGATTTAGTAAATAAAGAGTTAGCAAAGAAAATATATCACCACTCTCCTTGGGACAACCGAGAGTTGCTCCGGGACGATCGCCGGCAACCTCCGTCTCCCAAGGTCAACAAGGCCTCACCAGGCCTCGCTCCCCAACACGGCAGACTCAACAGCAGGAACCTGCACCTCCAAGCCGCCGGAAGGAAAGAGAGCGAAGGCCTCTCCTCCTTTCTTCTTATAATCTGGCTTACGTAAAAATCGTAGGGAATACTGGGTAAATCTGGACCCTTCCTTGGTTACAAACTGGTCACCAAGGAAGGCCTAGCCCAAACCACCACATTCGGGAAAGATATAATCCTCTTTTGGCTCACTGTTTTGCTCACGTTTAGAAGATTACATCCCTTTCTGAATATTCACTGTAGCCCTGTTCTTAGGAACAGGCAAGGTCTTGATCTATCAATAAATGGCTGGCTGTCCTATCCCTTACAAATTTAAAAAGCACATCAAACATGGCCAACTCAAATTCTTTGGAAGGAAACACAAAAAAATTGATTCCAACAGTTCTTGTTTTATATCATATTTGATCCTCTAACAGCAATGGGAAGACAGGAGAACTGGAAAAAATAGTTTCTGAAAAAGTGATTTTTCTGTTGCATCATTTCAAGTTCATAAGTAACTAAAATGCAAAAGAACGAGAATCAAGGAGGCTCGGACATTTCCTCTCTGTTCTTGGAAGTCCAGAGATGTCCAGTAAATACTTAGTTTTTATATTTTCTGACCATTAATAAAATTATCCTCCACTTTAAATGGTTGGGAATTTGGTTAGTTTGCATTTTTGCATTCATACTTTTTTCCCAAAGTATGTGCCATTTTATCATTAATGTAAATTTGCTTTTGCTACACCACTTGACCTTTCTGAACCATTAGCAAGGTATCTTTTAATATTTCATATGGCAAAACTTCTGTTTCATAGGATCATTTAGGTTGTAAATGACCTCTGATATCATCTGGAGTTACACATCCATACAACCTAATTTTAGCTATTTTTACTGTTTACTACATAATTACAGTATTTCGGATAAATTCAGTTTACCATACTGGCTAGAGTATTGTTGTTCCTTAAATACCCTTTGGGTACTAAATCCTTACCACAATCTTTAAACATCTCACAGACTTAAAAAATATCTGACAGAGCCAAATAGCTTCTATGTCCTTTTTAGTCAGATGAATTAGTTAAGCTGATAGCTGATAGTCATTGTCTTTTCCACCATTGTGTTCTTGGAATTTGAGGAATATGCAGATATTCTTGAAATCTTGTAGGTATACACAGAACTTTTTTCAACAAAATTATAGGGAAAAAAATAGAATGGATTAAAATGGCAGAATATTCAAACCACAATTTACCTATCTTTTGCCATAGCTTTTTCATGCTGTAAGTTCGCAAGTACTTCTAGTTAGTCAAATATGAGTGGACTCTGACAATGTGGAAGATAAATATGTTTGCTTAGTTACCTTTACAGGACTACGTCATCAGTCACTGACTTTCGAACTCCAATTGGAAAGGAAGTTGGCAGGTTTTGGTGAGGAATGGGACATCAGCATTTTTGAACTGTGAATAGTGAGAGAAAGATTTAGTTTTTGTACAAATGCTGTGTAACTCCATAATTAAAGTTATTGTTCATTATACTAATGTATTCTAATCTTATGCTTGCAACATAAATATTTTTTATTATTTTATTATTTTACACATAGATTTTGACTAATGTTTATTTCTCATTTATTGTAAACTCTGCTGTCATGAATATTTAGAGTCCAAACAGGTGTTGGGAGTCTAGTGTTTCATTTGTGTTCCACAATTTTAAGCTCAGTGAATTTTGGTCTATCCCTTGTAAGATGTTGTCGGTTAAAGTAGTCAGGAGGGCCATTCAGGAATATATCTTATTATTTCTCCATTCTCATGAAAAATTTTGCTTTCTCTTTCCCTTCTTTGCATTTAAATAGGAAGACAGCTGCCTTCAGATGATACAGAACTCACTGACAGTTGCCCTTGCTTCAGTCCTACTGCATGAGAACTTCAGAAGATACTAACTGAGGTATTTATTTGGTTTTTTCATTTTGAGAATTTTTACTTTTCAGAAAGTAGATGTGTAGAAGAGCAAGACAAAGGATATCATGAATCTAGACCAAGAAGAGTAATCATATGCAGAAAATAACACAAAGTTCTGTCCATAAAAAGAGCTACTGCGTGATACAATCTAATCTTTCTATAGCTGGGCGCTGTGTTAGTCCATATTTTTTTATAAGTTCAGAAATCAAATAATTACCAATATACCAAAAGGAGACATGTTAAAATGCCATTTAAAATGTTCCTTTTTTGAGGGTCATGTATCCAGTTTTATCTGATTCTCTGATTTTCTCCAAGAATGAGCAAAAGATTTTGCAGGAAATCCCTAGAATGAATCCCATTCATCTAAATAATGACTAAATAATGAACCTTTCAAGACTATCTATCATTTATAGATTTCTTCCTCTAATACTTACAAGGAATTTCAATTAAATAGGAGCTTTGGTGTTAATGTAACATACAAAGGCTTTCCTCACACTTTATCTTTTATAAATCCCCAAGATTAAATATAAAAGCAGCTTCAAAGCTATTGTTAAATATTTTATTATGAAAAATATTTGTCTTTTTTGTCAGATATCGGTGAATTAATTCCTTTGTATAGAAAAGAACTTCTCCATTTGTATATATAAACAGAGTCTGATAAAGGAGCAATGGCCATTGAATTCATAAAGGGAAAAAACTATCTTGTAAGCCTGCGATCAGTTGGATTTGTGTCAGTCCTAAGTTTATGATCTGCAGCTGTTAAATGTCTGATAGGAGCTTCGTCTTCTGAAGCATGATAACAGTGCGAGGGCATGGCTGGAAAAAAGGAAACGTGCTTTGAGAAATGAAATTGTCCAAACACATGGACAATGATTGCAATGCTTTATATAGCACAAAACTTTTGTTTTGTAAATCTTACAAAATGTATGGTTTAATGCTTTTTAAATTGCAGACATCTACCAGCACAGATTCTAAAACCTTGTAGGTTGAACAGAATTGTTGGTTAGTGTTGTGCAGTCAGTCTAATATAAGCAGTAGTGGCCTGGAATCCTTGTTTCTGTGTTTGAGAACTCGAAGCTTAAATGATACTGAAAAAATATGTGTCATAATTTCTATAATTTCATCTTAAAATACATAATATATGGTACTTTTATTTTATATATAGCTCTTAGTATTTATGCACGTCTGTATTTTATACCAAGATAGGCTTAACTTTTTGGAAAAATTCATAATTGTTAGTGTAGTTCTTGTATAAAATTTATATGTACTATTATAGGTATATTATAATATATGTATTTTCTTCTTTTAAAGAGACTTTTTATATACCAGCCAGTTTGGATTATAGCTAGAATTATGTTAGCAAGAAAATGAAAAATTTTCAAAAAGTCAACTGTTAAAATTCAGTTGAAAGTTACATATGGATTCAGAGAAGAAAGCAGAAGCTTTTTTGTTTCTAATTATGCATTATGTGCTTTAGCAGCAAACTCTGATAATAGTTTTTACATGCAGATTCTATGAAGTGCTGCATATTCTTGGATTCTCATAAAGCAGTTGACATTACGTGACAGGTTGAACCATTTCAGTGCACGTTATGGATTGGTTATGTCTTACAGTGGGGCAGTTCATTTCTGGAATCAGTACACAACCATTTTAGCAGTAGAATTAGCCGCTTATGTCACAGATTATAATTAGCTACATCTTTGTGCCAGAGCAACAGGATGGAATGCAAAACACAGCCAAACATGTGAACGAATTTTCTTCCAGTGATATTTGGCCAGGCCTAAAATATCTTCCACTCCAGATTTGAAAGTAGTGGAAAAGTTAGGCAATTCTCTCTTGGAAAGAGACTGATTGTAGTGTATTCAGAAGACCACATTGTTTCAAATCCCTACGGTACGTAACAATTTTTTTAATATTTGTTTTTATATCTGTAAAATATTAACATGTTAATAATTGAGTTTGGTTTTGTTTGTTCTTTGCTTATTACGTGGTTGTATTGAGCTTCTCCCCATCTGATTTTCTGTGCAACACTTCAGGCTGATTTTGTCCTTATTTAAGGATCATTTTTGATGCTTATGTGATTTATTTTAGAGCCTAAATTATGCATTCATGTTTAATTACAATTATTTTCGATTCTGATGGTTTAATTTTACTGGTTTTTACAATTAAATGCAGTATTAAGTTGCATAGTTTAAACCTGCACTTTTATAATATTAAGAAGCTAACTCTTAGTACTTTTTAAATCTTTTACAATCATATTACTGTACTTATATAAATATATCATGTGCAGTAGTAAACCTCTGATGTTTGGGGCTATAAATTTTTCTCAGTGTATCTATCACATACTGAAAGTTAAATTTAGTCAAGAATGTATCCATGCTTCTACTGAACACTTCTTTTTGGCTTGATAGTGTGATAATAACCTTCCACCTGAGGAATTGTGACCAAAATCAGTTCTAACTTCTGTGAAGCATACTTGAATTAATATAGGGCATATAATTATGTGTATACGGAACTCCTTTTGCAATTCTGTAATCTCTTTGAATTGAAATACATTTTCTCTTGGATAATTTTACTGCCTGAAAGAAAATTACTAACTGGGTATCAGTGGATTACTGGCTCATTATCAAATGATTTGTTGGACGATACTTGGTGTCTTGCCACCAACAGGTGCTTGCACTGCATACTTAATCATGAATCAGAACATAAGTTCCTAAAACAGGATATTGCAAAAGAGTAGGAATATGATTTTACCTAATCAACACCAGTCAGCTAGGCTCCTTTTATAGAGTTATGGGTGTTTTTACTATTTCTATCTTAAATCTCCTCCTGCTTGAGGAGGAGGTGATTCATGTCCCAGAAGTGTCCATCTATCTCCATTTTCTGTGGAGGGGGCATAGGTAAATATGGCTGATGCTGTCTGTATTTAAAGAGATGAATTCTAACCTGCATAACCACTTCCAAATTAGTTATCCATTTGAGTGAACTGTATTAACTTTGTGCCATAGGGTTCTGAAAGTTTGTCGTCCATTAAGATTTTAGAGGTTTTGGTTTTGATGCAGTCACAGATTATGCCACTTAACCTGAGATGAATGTCTGTTTATCTTCTAAACAAATTTGCTATTAGTCACAGACCTCCTTTCAATTATGTATTGAAGAAAAAACTGGTCCTAGGATACTACCAAAGGGTAAGAACCACTGTATGGAGTTAAATTAAAATAAAAGGATCTAAATTAAGCCCACCATTAGAGAGAACCAATTGAAATCTCTTTTCTAAACCTTTATACTTTTGCTAATAGCATGCAGTTGAAAACTCAGTGGTTTAAAGCACATTATATTTTGAGTTTTATTCATAATCATAAGGCTTTAGTAACAATGTGAAGATACAATATTCATACTTACTGTAATAGGTTTGTAATTATACAGATATGTGTGATTATACTTAGTGTTGAGAATACTGAGGCAAAACGTATGTTTTAAGCTAAGAGAAAAGAGTTTTGGAGGAACAGTTGAAAGAAAGAAATGGAACAGAAAGTTGGATGTACAAAGACCCTCTTACCTGAATAGCCTTGTGAGATTTATTTGTTCCTGTGGAAAGTAATGTGTTTTACATGAGATACAAATCCCAGGTCCTGACTTCTTACAGTTTTTAATTATTTTCATGACTTGGAATTAAGTAAGCTGGATTTCCTTTGGACTTACTTCTCAAAGTTGATTGTCTTACATGTTTGATGAGTGCTGACTGAAGGGTTTTTGTTGCAGAGACATTTACAAGGTCTTTCTCTTGTACAGGCTTTCTGATATAAGGTCTTCTTGCCCTTTTTAGTCTCTCAGTGGAGACATAAATGGTGTTTGTTATTTTCCCTGTTCTCTCATTTTCAGAAAGTTTGTAGGAAAATAGTATTTGAGATCTCTACTTGTCTGTTGAATTTGGTTGAAATTGGCCAAGAAACTCAAAAGCTGTTGAAGGAGGAAAGGAGATGAAAGGGAGACAGATGATGTTGTTGTTGACATAGGGTTTGGTTGCTTTTTAATTTATTAAACCAGGATAAAAGCATCATGGCAGTTTTGATAACAGGTTAATTCAATATCCTGGTCAAATTTTCAGCTCAGGTAATAATATTCTCACTATTTAATTCATCCTAACTTTGGCTACCTGGGCCAGTCTTTTCATTAAACCTTTCTGTATATCTGCCAAAAGCTGTTAAACAGCTGCTGCCTTTCATGCCATGGTTGGTTATGTTTCTGTGGTGGATGAAGTACCATGTTTGTATAAGACTGTGAAGAGAAATATAAACTAAAGTACATAATTTTTTTTTAAATGGAGTGTGGTATGTGCTGGAGTGTTGAATAATGCTGGTATTAGCCATAAAAGGCATGGTTTTCAATAAGACATGTTTATTTGTTTGTGTGTGTATGTGTATCCTGAAAGTATGTTTGTAAGAGTCACATATATATGTATTGTCAAGAATGGGATGTAAAGGTGGAATCATTTGTAGTAATGACTGTTAAAAAACTCTTCAGTTCCTCCTTGTTTATTTTCTGTGCTGTCAGTGCTCTGAGGAACAGCATTCTTAGTACCTCTGCTTCACCTTACCTTTTCTCATAGTGCAAGTGACAGATACTAAATTTTATAAAGCCTTCTTGCATCATTGCCTTCTTAGTTCTGGATATTAGTGGCTTTCAGAAAAAGCTGACTGTGTAGAGTACAACAGCCTCTGTTTCGTGTTAAAGTTTCATGCAAGTCCTCCATTGAATTTCCAAGCTGTTAGACCTGTCTCTGAGGAACAAGCAGCCTTAGTCAGGGATGGCTGCTGATGGAAGGAGACGTCTGAAAAGTTCCACTGCACCCCATTTCCTCAGTTTTGAGGAAAAGGAGTTTGAAGTGAGGAGCAGTAATAATTAAATAAAAAACATGTTCTGGTGACTCCAGGCTGCTGAAAGCAGAATAAAGTGGAAGAGTATCAAAAAATAAATGCTCTGCAA